CGTGGCGGTGGGGGGGGGGGGCGGGACTCGGGCGGGGCGGTAAACAGGTCATTCGCATGCGGAACTACGTGGATCCGAAGCGCTTCTACAAGGCTTCGGACAAGGTCTCCAAGTTTATGCAGGTAAAAAAGTGGGAACAACCACGTGTTTCCCTCTGTATCGGTGGAATAGTATCCACCAAAATCCACGTATCAGTTTGGTTTCGGCAGTTGTGCAGTACCATGAACCGCGTCCTGCCTTGTCGTGCTGCAATAGCAATGCGGCGTGCTTGCTCTATGCCACGTTTGTTTTTGGTCGAGCCTGCGTTTTTTTCCTGTCGCTGAAAGCGTAGGTATGCTAGCCATCCAGCATCTACCTTCCAGGTTGTCCGCTCGGAAATCCCGCCAATATTTTTTCTGACTACCCTCCTTCTATAACGCGCACGTTGTTTGGGTTTTACACCATATGACGAATTTGCCCCAAAAGAAAACGTGTGTGTGGGCCTTCAGCGGTATCATCTGGATTGGATTTTGCTTTGTTTCGTCAAGACCGTTGTGTGTGGCGTGGCGTGGGTAAGCCGTCTGCGCCGGTGCGTCGGTACGAAGCTCCTCTCTCTCCTCCGTCAAAGCGCGCCAGCAAGCGGGCTATAGATGTCCGCAAATGCTCAAGGGCCTCCGGTGCAGGCCTCGCCCGCTCCCCGTTCAAGTCTCCCGTTTGACCACCCGCGCGGCCCCTTCCCCTTTGCCACTGCCACCGCTTGCCTCCTCATTGTCACTCGTTGGGGGATGTTCCTGCCCTCGGGGATGGTGATTGATGATGGTACCTTGCGAGCAGATCGGCACCGTGAAGGAGGGCCCCTCGGAGTACTTCTCCTCGCGCATGACCAACAAGGAGCGCAAGAAGACTCTGGTGGACGAGCTTCTCGTGGCCGATGACGCTTTCAGGTACTAGCTGAAGATACCGCGCAACAGCATCTGATGAGTCCACACACCACGCGTACGTGCAAGCGAGCGGTTCGCTGTCTTGGTGTAGGTTTACGTTTGCTATTTGAACAGCAGTCAGGTCTTGTTGCGTTCGTGTTGCCTGCCTTCCCCTCGCGAGGACTTGCAGCTCGATCCAGTAAGATTGAGGTTGGCCTGGACGCAAGTACTTTTGCTCTGCCCCGAATGCTGCACTTCGTGAACGAAACGAATCGGACGACAAGCCCGAGGACTGTTCCGAGGAACCCCGTGAACGCATCATTTCCCTTAATATTTTACCCTATCAACATGAAATCTGGTCCTTACCCTTCTCCTTATCTTTCACCGTGTAATCCGAACGCTACGTAACAGGGCGTACTCCAAAAACCAATACGGTTCCATTCAGTCGAGAAAGAGGGCAGGAGGAAAAGCAGCCTACAACGACCAGAAGCGCAAGAGGAAGGGGGGCATGCAATGGAAGCCCTGAAAGGCTTGCTGCGGCGTTGTAGCGTACTGACAGACCATGGGCGTTGTCGTGCACTGGCAGACAAGGGGCGAGTGCGCGGTGTGGGCCCGGGTAACCCGTATGTAGGTGCGACGCCGGTGGTCTTGACGCCAGATCACAGGGACGTGAACAGTAGAGGGGCAGTGAAACGCTTAACGGCGTGTGCTCAAACGTAGGTGTTGGGCCTTTTCGAGGCTGGAAAGGTGCGTTTGTTGTCGCAGCTAGGGTGGATACCTGAAGCGGAAGGAAATAGGAAGGAGATTCGACCGCAAGATTACCGTCAAAGGGCCGGGTGTCGTGGCAGCCCTGGGCAGCTTGTAGGCATGTCCCGGTGTAAACCGGGGCAAGGTCTGGTCATAGCAACCCTCGGGGGAAGCGTGTACACCAAGGAAAGATGTACAGAGACCCAATATCCGGGATCTGATGATATGTTGTCCACCGTACAAATTTTGTTGCATCTGGCACGTGTTACAGTGGGGTACGAGGGGTTCAAGTTGACGGGTACCCTCAATGGCGTGTGCAAAGACGAGGGCTCTTGCCGAATTAAAGCATGCTTAACGTCACGACCCAGGAATCGCGACGGAGCTGGGAGGGTTGAACGAGATTCGTGCCGTAGAGCACACGCTCAAAAGAGCAGCTGTGGTTGTGTTGTGCACAATTTCAATCACAAGTGATGAGAGCTGTAAATCTATATTTTGCCGTACGCCGTTTTTGTTCAATGTAAACGGGGCCTAGGCTTCTTCCATTCTGTACAACGTCCCCACTCCGACGGTTAAGGTATAAACGGAGAAAACGGGGGTCACGTGGATCAAACGCTACCGGCACAAGCCCCCACCCCACAGCCTGTAGCAGCTGCAACAACGGTGGAACAGAGCTGCAAAGTCCCGCTAACACCAAGGTATCCCACGAGGAGCCGATCGATGGCGGGTGGAGCCAAAATACGGCGACTTGCCTCCAAACCACGCAAGGTCAAACAGAATGAATTACTCGACTACATGCATCGTTTCGCCACATACATGCACCGCCCTAGTGTGATATTTTGCATCAGACCGATGTGTTCACCGCATGGTACCCTAAGCCGCCGCGGGCATCGTGTGTTCCCGGACCGTGCCTGAACCTTGCACACACCCGCCAACCTCGCCAGGAAATTCGTGTCTACAGGTCAACGCGGCCCGTCATATCATGCTCGCCAGACGAAGAAAAGAGTCACAGTTACGCTCAGGAAAAGTCGCACGCAGACCCACCATTGCATGCGCGCCCCCCTCTGTCCAACGCAGACAACCACAACAACACAGCGGCCAGCCGTGGCGGGTGCATGTACTTTGTTCGAGCTTTGCCGGGGTGTGCCGCCGCTGTGCCGGGGGCTTCAAGATCCCGAATGGGTAACCAAAAAAACAAAAGAAAGACCCATCTTGCTATGCGAACGAGCACAACCACCAACTTCGCCAAAACGACCAGCAAAGGAAGAGTGTACCCCTCCCGTAGGGGGCAGACGGTTGGGATAGCCTGGGGGTGGGGGGTTGGTCTGCACCCCCGTGTTGCCCAGAAAGATGAAGACTGACCGTTTCGTTTCTCCTTCCTCGTCGACGACGCACGATTCAAGGACGCGCAGCAGCCAACCGTGGAACGTGCAGCACCCCCCCTTTTGCGGTGCCCCCCTTCTCTATTGTACAACCAAAACCCGAGAGAACAGCGGCACGCCTCCCCGCAAGCCTGTTCTCAATAGTTCAGTACCACTGGCAGTTCCTTCGAGAACTTCACCGGGCGACAACGGCACGTCGTTGTGCCTTCTCCCCGCAAGTCTGTCGTATGGATATATACGTATTTGGTTCAATAGACTGACTGACAACTCCTTCGAGAACTTCTTCATGCCGCGACAGCTTTTCGCTCCTTCGCGGCCTTGGCGAGGGCCGGCGTGTCCTCCAGGACTCGGTCGGCGCAGAGAAGGGCCGACTTCGTTGCCCCCTCCATGGAGTCGATGTAGTCCTGCAAGTGTCACACACGCACGGCGGGATTTGGGATGACTTTCTTTAGCGTCAAAACATGGGGGAAAGCGATGCTGTTATCTACTGTCATGGTTATCATTTTTCGAATTTATTTCTTGTTCTGTACGCCTTCAATAAACGTGCCTTGATCACATTAAGCATCACAAACAAGGCAAGGCGGCACGTTCCCAGCTTCTTCAAATGAATTGCATAAAACATTCCGCTTCGCACCGCTGTGTTACCGACATCACGAATCACGGGCGTCGGTAACAGCAAGGAGCGGGCGGCATGGTGAGGAACCCAAAAAATCTCTACAATAATAGGCATATAAACGACCGACAAGTTCAAAACACGCCTCCTGCTATACTCCAAAAACACCTCCCCGCCCCACCCTCCGCCTTCCACCCCGCGCCCCCTAAACGCCCTCAAAAACAAGAAATGGCAAAAACAACGGCCACCTCTTTCGTCCGTAGGGAATCACCTCCACAGCCACAACCCTTCCAATGCCTTCGGGTTGTATTGAATCGCACCTGGTAAGTGTAAGAGCCCGCCATGAAGAAGTTGGAGATGGGAGTTCTCTGGTCCGGCCTGTACTGGTCCAAGCCCGGCCCCTCGCGGTAGAGAGACTGCCCCAACTTCACCACGTTCGTCCACGTGCAGTTAAGCTCCCTCGCCGACGGAAAGAGCTCGAGCACCTACGTTGTCATCGTTTGTCGGGGAAAAGTTTGGTTTTTGGTTTTCTTGACAAGCCAAAGGGGCTGCGAGAGCCACGACCACGGCGCATTTACGACTGGAGGAAAAAAACAAAAAAAAACGCGTGTAGCTCAGGAGCTGCTGAGCTAGCTCCCTCGCACCCAACGACGCACGCAAACGCCAAGATACAGAAAAACGATCAACTAGTGGAGCCGTTTTGTCAGCGAGACCAACCGGCCTACATGCAGAAAACACGAGCCCTCCTCTGTCCTGGAGAGCAAGGAGAACAGGAACACAGTCAATGCAGTTACCTAACCTTCGCACCCCGGGGTAAAGCAAAATCCATGTCAAATCCGTTTCCCCAACTTCGCCCCCCACCACCCATAAAAAAATTCGGGGCGTGTGCGTCCAATCCAAGGGAATAATGTGAAACCAGTTCTTCGTCGTTGTTCTTGCCGATAACCTCTGCCACAAATATCATGCTCGAGTCCAAAGGATCCACGTGAACGATGCAAACTATGTATGCATATCTGTCCGGCCGAGCGAGCGTTAATGACTCCCAGGCCTTGCGCCTGGACAAAAAATATTTCCAGGAAATACGAAAAAAGAAACTCGAACGGCACACGCGAAGAAGCCAAGAAGTGGCGCCGGTTGCGCTGTCACCTGCTTGAGGCACGCGGCCGCGATGTCTTCCGTCGACCTGGGCATCCACTTGTCTCCCGGCGTCATGACGCACTGCAGCAGAGAGCCCTACGGGAAAGCGCAGAACAAAAAGAGGCAAGGGAGACGAAGACACGACAGTCAGTCTACCACCACCAGCAACCTATCCTTTCCTACCACACACGCGCAAATTCCAGCACACTCTCGCCCGACTGTATGTGTGTTTGTTTGTGTGTGAGTTTAAATCCCTCTTGTTCTGCACGTCGATGTTTACTCTGGCCCGGCATGGTTCCTGGGGTTTATGGCGAGGAGTTGTGCAAATAAGGGTAACGTTGCACCGAACATTCCGGCAAGCTTGCCGCCGTACAGTACCTTCATCGAGTCGACAAGCAGGTTGAGTTGCCGACTGGTGCGCCTCTCATCAAACTTCGTTTGATGGGTGTCGCACGTTCCCATGTTCAAGTGGGTACAGAAGGTCGGAGCAGTGTTCCTTTTAACAACGTTTCGGAATGCTTGCGGGGCGCACAAGACTTGTTTCGCGTGGGCGTTTGAAGGGGATACGGGGGCTCACCGAAGCTGGGCTGCCATTTTCAGGCCACCATGGCCCACCCCAAGAAATTCATCGAACAGCTGAACAACGAACAGCCCCCCCCCCCCCCCCCCCCCCCCCCCCCCCCCCCCCCCCCCCCCCCCCCCNCCCCCCCCCCCTGCCCAATGAAAATCCTCTGTTTCATAGCATCGGTCTAGCCTTCCAGACCATGCTGATTCGATCATAAAAGAGGGAACACGCACGCCCGTGGGCCGTGCAGACACACACGCGCGCACCTCTCCCGGCTTGTAGTAGTCCGAGCTGGGGCTGGTAAGCGCCAGGTCCGCGAAGCAAGAGAACTCGGCGTCGGCGGTGTACAGGAGGTTGTCCAGGCCGGGGGCCTTGCCGCCGGAGTAGTCGGAGGCTACGTCGTTTCTTTTGTCCTTGTCGTTAAGCTCGGTCACCCACCCGTCGAAGCGAAGCTGCACCGTGGCCACAGGGACCCCGTCCAGCTTGTAAATGTTGTCGAACATGTCGTACCTGGTCATCGGGTATTGGGGGTACAGCAGTAGCGGGTGATGATACGGGTGCGCGTTGGTGGTGGTGGGAGGGGGGAGTGGAGAGTGTCAGCTGTGCTGCAAGATCGTGAATGATGCTGCAAGATCGTGATGATGCTGCCAGATCGTGATGATGCTGGGCACGCCTCGCCGCCGAACAAACGCGCCGTGGCCTTGCAAGTAGACAGCGGAAAGAGGATTGTGGGGTTACGTTTGAGTGGACAAGTCCTGGTTGTGACGGTCCTGCCTTCCTCCACGGCTTCCCTTGGAAGCGCAACCCCTCCACTCCGAACAAGGAAAATAAAAGAAAGCAAGTTTACAGTTATCCGCTACGGGCCAAGAGTGAATAGAGATAATTCAAGAGTGAAGAGAGATTAGATATTCAAGAGAAAATCGGATTGAGGGCAGTGATTTCGGCTTGTCGCGACCGTAAGAAATACGTGTATTACTCCGGTGAGGTTCAAGAGACAAGAATCGGTTTTAAGGAGAGTGGCGTATCGCTTGTCCAAACCCTAGCCGCCACTACGGTGACTAACTCACTTGCGGAAGTTCTCGGGCAGGAGCTTCTTGATGCCCGGCACGTCGGTCGCCGCGATCACGACATCGAACTCCTTGTACTGCTGGTCCTTCCCGCCGCCGCCGCCGGTCACGACGAGGCCGTTCACGTGGGTCGGCTTTCCGTCAGCGTCCACTTCGTGCCTAAGAACCAAGCACAGTTAGCGCTGAGGAACTTGGAAGTCACTTCGTGCCAAAGAACGAAGTACAGTTATCGCTCAAGAAACTTGGAACTCACTCCGTGCCGAAGAACCGAGCGCAGTTAGCGCGTAAGAAACTTGGAATTCGCTTCGTGCCTAAGAACTAATTACAGTTGGCGCCAGCACTTACGAACGTGGCAGTCAAAGAATCGACCCTCGAAACACTAAAATTTGCAGTTAGCACTCTAGCATCATTTGAAGGATGAATAAACAACAATAGAACAGTGACAATGGCGCACCACCTCTTTGGTCAGGCCGGCCCGACAGCAGCAGCGGCCGACAGAAGCGCAAAGAGCTGTGCGAGGCCTAGATGGAGCTCAAAAAGAGGTCGTGTGAATGCGGGGGGTGTAGAATAGCCAGCCAGCCGGCCAACAGAAGGAACCAATGCAATCTTTCCTAGCGTGGTGGGCGCTTGCAGCCGTTGCACCGTGGCGACTAAGAGGCAAACATCAACGCGCGAGCACTCTTAGTCAAATCGATGGGGGAATCGCAAGAGCAAGAGACCAATCGTGTTCCCCGCTCAAGACAGCGTGCGCTGTAGAACAAACAACACGAAACAAAACAAACCCTGAACTGAACACGATGCTACAAAAACGAATCCGTCTGCATTGCGCCGCTGACCGCCAAACAGGACGCAACCTTAACCTTCCCGTGCACCAAACAAGGTGATCAAGTCCTCGCCACAACAGCAGTTTGGGAGGCTCTGGGAAAGAGTTTTGTTGTGGTCTCCGTGAGGTTCTTCGCCCGGTGTGTGTGCCTGTGCTCGCTACCCTGATGCCGATGCGAGGACGACACCAAAACCCATGCAAATACAGAGACCGCCAACTAGAGAGCTCTCCCTCTTTCTCTTGATTCCGGGTTCCGGAATAAACCGACTTCTGCCGCTTGTAGCCCTCCAGCTAGCACGGTCTACAGCCACATCAACATGAGAGCAAAAACACCGCGCACAAGATCATAGATAACGTGACCGTACCAAAAAGCCCAACGGAAAGCTGGTGCTACTTGATGCAATCTGAGCGCTAACGTTAGTGATACAATTGCCAAAAGTACAAACACCGCGCACAAGATGATAGAAAACGCGACCCCTCCCCAAGGCTTACTTGATGTCGAGAATCCTTCGGGAGGTGTGGTGCTTCACGCCCCGCTCTCCCAGGTACTTGAGTATAGGCTGGTGGATGAATTCGTCCGGGGAGCCTTCCAGCATTCGCAATACGGATGCTTCCGATCGGATCGCAAACAGCTGGGACACACACACATCACGTTTTCTCCTTGGTTAGCCGGTTAGCGCGGTCAACGCTTTTTTAGAAAGACACACGTGACGTATTTTCATGGGGCGGTCGATTCTAGTACACAGATGCACAAAAAGACGAGGCAGATGAAGGTTAAAAGAAGTCCACAGGGTCACGGGTGTTAAGAAACATACGACAAAATGGAACAACAAACAATTAACCGAGTACCGAGAGACATGGCGGTGTTTGGTCCATTCGAAAAGATGGTTTGGATTGGAATGTGTGTCGATTGAATCAATACTAGACGGTTAAATCAGGAGGCTTTTCACCACAGCGTTAAAAGGGGGATGATACCGTGAGATATGGGGCTACACGATATTTGCGCCGCCGTCGCAAAGGGCGTATACCGCAGGTATTGCGAGGTACACGGGTTTGCCGCCACTGTGGAACGGGAATACTTCTATGCCGGTAGTCGTGGGGAGGTAAACGGGCCACTCTACCGCGAGGGGCGTTGGAAAACTCAAAAGAAAGTGAAAGGGAGAAGCTGCAGCATCGCGTGGCGCCTAGACGCCGTTGAAGGGTAACGCGGCAAAACAGCGAGACAGCGAGAGACAGCAACACCTAGGTTTCTGCCACCCCTGTTCTCTCTCTCTCTCTCTCTCTCTCTCTCTCTCTCTCTCTCTCTCTCTCACTCTCTTTTTTTCTCCCTCTCGCTCTTCCTGTCAAGGAACCGCCTCTTCGCTCTCCCGAAGCCCCACCGATCATGCACCTTGCCAGCTCAATATCTTCTCCAACGCCTCCAAAACAACAAACGCCAGCAGCGATACCCCCCCCCCCATTTCACACACATCTCTTGCTCGCCTGGAAAATGGTGAGCATGCACCTCGCCGAGATGTTGTCGCAGTCGATGAAGCCGAGCGCGTACGCGATAGGGTCCCACAGCCGCTCGATGGAACCCCTGGAACCCCCCTTCCCCTCGAACCACTCGCTGAAGGTCATGCTGTCAAGCGCTCGGACATCCTCCTGTTGTATATTCACAAATAAGCCAAACCATTTCGAGTTATGTACCGGAACCACCAGACTCCTGCTTTCGCAACATGTCAATCATTTGAGTTTATGTACCAACCCCAGAAAAGAACGAACATCACATTTGAAAAAATTACAGAGCGGCGTGTTTCTCAGGCCAGGTTTGGCTGGATAGTAGCTCCTGCGGGAACGGGGGGGCGGTACACAAACAGGACCAAATTTGCCGTATGTGGGGACAACGGCAGCCAACAGAAATTGGTTTGGTGGAGAGCGCGGGGAGGGTGCAAGCGAAAGTACGGGCAACGCAACCCCAAACAGCACGTTGTGCGTGCCGCAACAGAGCAGTTCGGTAGTGCTGCCTGAGCACAAATGGGCTTGCTGTCCGACATGCGCAAGGCGTCGTTCCGGACCAGGCAATGCACAGGTGCGTGCTAAACCGAAAACGATGGGAACAAAGAGCACACGAATAGGGAGTTGTCTACCACAACAAAATAGGCACATACCATGCGCGTCAAATGCATACCACGAAATCGAAACACACAGAAAAAAAGGAAACCAAGAACCAAACAGACAGAACACAACACAGGATAATAACCACAAGCACAACAAACTATGTAAGTCGTGCAAAGCGCGTTCCGCCGTGCAGATTTGCTCACCATGGCCCAATCGAAATTAAAGAGCGCCTTCACGATCGGAGACGTGCCCAGGGCGAGAGCGTTCGCCAGCTTGTCGAAGATGCCAAGCTGGCCGGTGGTGGCGAAAGCCTTAAGCCCGTTGATGGGAGCACCGATGCCCCCCATGCGGAAGTCCAAGCCACCCAGTTCACCGCCCTTGAATTTTTTCAGAAAGATTTCGTTTAGCACAGCACACGGAAGTAGAGTAGCTGCAGGGGAGAAGCGCTTAGGTCAAATGTGTACCATAGACAATAGAGGAGCGTGGTGATGGCGAAGTTCGAGGAGGAGGGTGTTTGGTGACGATACGTGAAGCTGCCAGAGAAATGCCTCGGAAAAAGGCTTGGGGTTCTCCCCGGATACAGACGGCGGTCCTCAATAGCGGTAGGTATTGTAGTGACAAGAGGTTTTGGTGCCGCTGTTCAGGGCAGTGCCGATACTCCTAATAGCGATTATACTGAGACATGCATTTCTGCCAAGCGATTTCGGTGCCGCTATTCAGGGCTTTCCGCTTTACAGCGGTACGGCTAATAGAGGACCGCGGCCTGTATCAAGATACCTTACCGAAACACCACAAACATTGGCACACGATACAGGCTTGATTAGTTGGAAGCACACGCGAGTGTCTCCTCCCAGAGACTGATCCTCCCCCTCCCCTCCCTCGCCCCTCTCCAACAAGTGCTACTGAAGTAGATGATGTATACCCCCCCCCCTCCACCCCCCCCGGTGTTTGCCATCGGGGTTGGG